TATTATTTATTATATTTAGTTATTATATTATTATATTATTATTATTATTATATTTAGTTATTATATTATTATTATTATTATTATATTATTATTATTATTATTATATTTAGTTATTATATTATTATATTTAGTTATTATATTATTATTATTATTATATTATTATTATTATTATTATTATATTTAGTTATTATATTATTATATTTAGTTATTATATTATTATATTATTATTATATTATTATTATATTATTATTATTATTATATTTAGTTATTATATTATTATATTTAGTTATTATATTATTATATTATTATTATATTATTATTATTATTATATTTAGTTATTATTATTATTATATTTAGTTATTATATTATTATTATATTATTATTATTATTATTATTATATTATTATTATATTATTATTATTATTATATTTAGTTATTATATTCAGTCTCTGAGTTCTGTTTGGGTTTCCCCGCCTGCCGCCAGTGACGTTACTGTCCCGCCCCCTCCTCCCTCCGCCCCCGACGTCACTTCCGGCCGCACAGCAGAGGGAAGATGGCGGCGCCCTGTAATTCGGAGCTTCCGTCCGAGGCTTCTTCTTGTCTGAAAATCCCGAAGAGCGAGATCCTATCGCCGCCCTCCCCCGGCCTGAGCGATGGGAACCGCTCCCTGTCCAGCTCCTCCCCCCTGCCCCCCGCCGGGCCCCCAGGGGCCCCCGGACTCAGCTCCCCGGGGGTGTCATTCAGCACGGCCTGCCGGGGGATGTCCTGGACCCCGGCCGAGACCAACGCGCTCATCGCCGTCTGGGGCAACGAGAGGCTGGTGGAGGCCCGGTACCAACAGCTGGACGGAGCCGGCACCATCTTCGGAACCAAGGCCCCCGGGCCGGCCATGTACGACCGGGTCTCCCGGGCCCTGAGCGAGCTGGGCTACGAGAGGACCCCCAGCCAGTGCCGGGAGAGGATGAAGGTGAGCCCCCCGGGGGAGGGGAGGGGGGGGGACGGACTTACCGCACCTCACTGTATGTACCCCTAAACTATAACCCCCATCCCCTCACTGTGTGTACCCCCAAACCATCCCCATCTGTCACACCCCCAGCCAGTGCCGGGAGAGGATGAAGGTGAGCCCCCCGGGGGAGGGGAGGGGGGGGGACGGATTTACCGCACCTCACTGTATGTACCCCTAAACTATAACCCCCATCCCCTCACTGTGTGTACCCCCAAACCATCCCCATCTGTCACACCCCCAGCCAGTGCCGGGAGAGGATGAAGGTGAGCCCCCCGGGGGAGGGGAGGGGGGGGGACGGATTTACCGCACCTCACTGTATGTACCCCTAAACTATAACCCCCATCCCCTCACTGTGTGTACCCCCAAACCATCCCCATCTGTCACACCCCCAGCCAGTGCCGGGAGAGGATGAAGGTGAGCCCCCCGGGGGAGGGGAGGGGGGGGGACGGATTTACCGCACCTCACTGTATGTACCCCTAAACTATAACCCCCATCCCCTCACTGTGTGTACCCCCAAACCATCCCCATCTGTCACACCCCCAGCCAGTGCCGGGAGAGGATGAAGGTGAGCCCCCCGGGGGAGGGGGGGGGATTTACCGCACCTCACTGTATGTACCCCTAAACTATAACCCCCCCACACTGTGTGTACCCCCAAACAATCCCCATCTGTCACACCCCCAGCCAGTGCCGGGAGAGGATGAAGGTGAGCCCCCCGGGGGAGGGGAGGGGGAGGACTTACCGCACTGTGTGTACCCCTATAATATAACCCCCTCACCCCCTCACTGTGTGTACCCCTAAACTATAACCCACCCCCTCACTGTGTGTACCCCTATAATATAACCCCCTCACTGTGTGTACCCCCAAACCATCCCCATCTGTCACACCCCCAGCCAGTGCCGGGAGAGGATGAAGGTGAGCCCCCCGGGGGAGGGGGGGGGGACTTCACTGCGACTATAATATAACCCCTCACTGTGTGTACCCCTCAAATATAACCCCCCCCACCCCCTAACTGTGTGTACCCCCAAACCATCCCCATCTGTCACACCCCCAGCCAGTGCTGGGAGAGGATGAAGGTGAGCCCTGGGGGGGGAGGGGACTTACCGCACCGCACTGTGTGTACACCCCCAAAAATATAACCCCCCCTTCATTGTGTGTACCCCTACAATATAACCCCCCTCACTGTGTGTACCCCTACAATATAACCCCCCTCACTGTGTGTACCCCTACAATATAACCCCCCTCACTGTGTGTACCGCTACAATATAACCCCTCACTGCCCCTCACTGTGTCACCCTATAATATAACCCCCTCACTGTGTGTGTGTACCCCTAGAATATAACCCCCTCACTGTGTGTACCCCTAGAATATAACCCCCCTCACTGTGTGTGTACCCCTAGAATATAACCCCCCTCACTGTGTGTACCCCCCTAGAATATAACCCCCTCACTGTGTGTACCCCTAGAATATAACCCCCTCACTGTGTGTACCCTGTAACCCCCACTGTGTGTACCCCTAAACTATAACCCCCCACTGTGTGCACCCCTAAACTATAACCCCCTCACTGTGTGTACCCCTAGAATATAACCTCCCCCACTGTGTGTGCCCCTAAACTATAACCCACTGTACTGGGAAACATAGACTGTGACGGCAGATAAGAACCATTCAGCCCATCAGGAGAAATGTTGAGCTAATTGTAGGGGTACACACAGTGCGGCAAGTACGTTTACTGCACAGCTGTAATTACCGCACTGTGTATACCCCTACAATTATCCCCTATAATAACCCCTCACTATGTGCATCCTCAAACAATCCTCATCTGTCACACTCCCAGCCAGTGCCGAATAGGATGACGGTACTTACCACAACCACATAATGTACTTGCCTTACTATCTGTACCCCTAAAATAGAACCATTTACTGTCTGCACTCCCAAGATTTACCACCTTTGTCTTCTCCCAACATATACCACCTTTACTGTCTGCACTCCTAAAAATACCTTCTTACTGTCTGTACCCCGAAAATATACCATCTCTGCCTGTACCCCCAAAATATAACCCCTTTACTGTCTGTACCCCCAGAATACACCCCCTTACTGTCTGCACCCTCAAACCACCACCATCTTTCACACCCCCAATCAGTGCCGGGAGAAAATAAAGGTAAGCACTGCACCCCTCAAATTATCCACATCTCTTATACACTCATAGCCAGTGGTGAGAGAATATGAATTAAAGATCTACCATACCAAATACTGATACATCCCTAATCAGTGGTCAGAGGATGCATTTTTCACCCCCAAATTACTATCTGTGACTGCATGTACACCGAAAATATATCCCTAAATTGTCTGACCACCACACTATCCCACTTTCTTATACACTACAAGGCAGTGGCAAAATAAGATTGAGGAAAGTTTGACACCCCAACATTTTTATATCTGACTGTATATATCCCCAAGCCATCCACCTGTATAATACTAAGTAATAGTCATCCACCTGTCTAAACTACAGTCACAGCTGGAGAGGACGACCAGATAAATGGACAGTTGAAAGCAAGTCCTCAGGATAAATGTTGGGCAACCCCAGGGTGTTAAAAAAAAATAATAATAATAATATAGAATTAGACACCTATATTAAGCATTAAGAATTATTACAGGGGTACAAATAAGAGTGCCAGAAAACCACGTAAAAATTAACATAACCTTTTTTTTTTTCTTTTTTTTAATGAGTCACCCCTATATACCAAGTATACACACAGCAAGTGATAAAATGAGTCCCGTAAGTCAAGTACCGTCCCAGTGCATCAGTTATAAGTAAACTTCCAAGAGTAGAAGGCAGAAATGTATAAAGATCCGTCAGTTATTATACAGAGCACTATAGCTGCATATAGTAACGCATGCACAATATCTCACTGAAAGGCAGAATTCAGAGTGAAATATAATAGACAGAAAGTAGCAAATAAAGAACTTGATATAACAAAATGAAGAAAATTGTTTACAGGAACTGGTGCACTTACTGTGAACACATGTGTAAGTGCACACATTTTGCTTGTAGTTGCAGGTGTTCAGTTATACTGTCTATGGTTTATGGCAAAATCATACCACAGCGAGAAGCCTGTCTGTTGTAATAGACGTCCGGGAAGGTTAACCGTCTCTTTATAAGGACGCCGTTAGTGTTTGTTACCGTAGATAAATGTGTTGAAGGTTTCTGGAAGTCGAATGTAATCTGTGACTTCATAGGGCTTTACTTTATGTGCTGGGTTTTCACTAAACTCTGAATTTTGGTTAAAGGGACACTATAGTCACCAGAACAACTACAGCTTATTGAATTTGTTCTGGTGAGTAGAATCATTACCTTCCGGCTTTTTGTTGTAAACACTGTCTTTTCAGAGAAAATGCAGCGTTTACATTACAGCTTAGGGATAACTTCACTGGCCACTCCTCAGATAGCTGTTAGAGATCATTCCTGGGTCATGGCTGCCTAAAATGCATCCAAACATTCAGTGTCTCCTCCCTCTGCATGCAGACACTGAACTTTCCTCATAGAAATGCATTGATTCAATTCATCTCTATGAGGAGATGCTGAGTGCTGTGTTTGAATCATGGTGGCTCTGCCCCTGATCTGCCTATTTGTCAGTCTCAGCCAATCATATGGGAAGCATTGTGATTGGATCAGGCTACCACTTCTGATGTCAGGAGACTGCTTGTTTTTCTGAGTCTAACAGCATGCAGATGTACAGCTTCAGGATTGAATACAGTAAGATTTTGCTATATTTATGGAGGCATGAAGGGCCCAGGGGGGCTAGATGTTGGTTTTAACAAGATAGGGTCAGGAATACATGTTTGTGTTCCTGACCCTATAGTGATCCTTTAATTAAATCTAAGCTGCAAATTTGAAGCCAGATTGTGAAACTTTCCAGATCAGCTTTTGTTATCTCAATTTTGCACTCTGTATTTCATTTGCTTAAATTTAGTGTTTGTCAAGAACCGGGAACGGATTCATTTCAAAATGAATTAGAAATTTTAGGCTACAATAGTTGAACTGGACAAGTTCTCCAATAAAAATGTTTTCCAGTTAGATTTCCACCAAGTAAGACTTGAGTGAATAAACAGACAGCCCAGCAGCCACATGGTCAGCGAGACATTGATGCAGGACTCACAATTCAGTGTTCAGTGAAGAAATTCTACCATCATTTTGTTTTCATTCACATTTTGCTTACTTAATGGGGTTTCAGTATGTGTGTCTGTGTCAATGCGGAGATGTATTTTTCCTGAGTGTCAATGTGTGGAATATCTGAGTGTGTGATTGTGTGAATCCAAGGCCGTGTTTGTGCGAAGTGTCTGTGTGCGGCAATGACCAGTTTAGTGATTTGAAGTGGTCGTGGTGCTGGAGCCTGTGCAGAGTTTTGCTATGAAATGCTGAACATACGGGGATTGGCCTCTGTGCTGCTATATTTGTAGTTCCACCTCTGACAAAACTGGGTTGGCTAATGTCAATTCTGTGCAAATGTCAGTCACTGGCTGAGAGCGGACAGCTGTCGCTCTGCAGAAGCACATCACCAGATAACCAGGGAGCCTCTGAGCCCAGTGGGATCCAATGTAAGAGGGCAAACTGTTGCTACACGGTATGCTCCATGACTGGGGAACTTTGCCTGGGTATTCCAGGCATCAAAACCACTACAGTGGTTGTAATTATTGGAGTGTTCGTTTAAATAAACTGCAACTATTTAGGCACGAATACCCAAAAGAATTAAATGAAACTTGATTAGGCAGTACATCTATGCAGGCAATGTGTAATTTAGGTGCTATTCACAACAGTCTTATGATCGGGACACTCCTAGCACAAAAACACTACAGTGGTTATGGTACCCTGGCGCTGTCCCACTTGTTTAAAGTCAAACCTTTTTGGAATTAACACTTACCTGCATACCCCTGTCTCCCTCAGTCCGGCCCTTCTTCAGTTATAGCAGCTTTTCCATCTGCTATGGAGTGTCTTCTGAGGCTGTCACCCAATCGATTCTATCCTAAGACATGACTAGTACGGGAGTAGGCAAGTCCAATGTAAGGATATCGGTGAGACCGTACTGCTGACCTAGGTAAATGTTAAAATATTCGATGTGTTCAAATTTAGATTTCAGAAGTGGGGATCGTCACAAATTGTAAAGGGATTCTCCAATAGAACATAGTTGACTGCATCTCTTTCAAAAAGCATAGATTAAAAGACATTATTGGCTAGAGGGAAATGTGAGTGGCAGATTTCGCCAGTCCTTGCTGTTATGTGGCGTCCTCCAGAGCATTATATAGAGGCGTGTATTTTTTGGTTGCCATATTGCTGTCTGGCAGTGGGTAGCTTGGAACCAGAATTGTACCATGAGATGCATAGAGGAGAGTAGTGTAGTATGTTTGTTGTTTGGCTATTTCTTTGTTTAAATAGAATTTTCAGCAACAGAAAAGTAGGACATTGTAATGGGTGCCATGATTGTAGTTAGGGAAATGTGTGGTTATATCAGATATGCTGTAATTTATAGAAAATATATTGTGAAGGCAGCTTCATATTGTAGCTGTCAGAACCAGGTGTATATTTGCAACAATGCATTTGGTCAGTGACCATGATGTAAATGCCTCATGGATTCTGATTGGTTAAAAATATGAACAATAGGGATACAGCTAGATTTTGCTGTGCATTTTCTCAGTCTATCTACAACTGTTCTTATCCACTTGCCCATAAATCTGCTGCCTTTTACATATTTATCTCATCTTTCAGCTTTGTTTTTGTTTGAATGGATTTTTTTTTTTTCCCATTTGTAACAGACGTCCTGTACAGGGCTCGCAGGGCCAAACATGACGAGACACACAGGTCTGAATAGTTACTAACACAGTGTTCGTGTAAAATGGTGTTTGAGGCACCTTTTATTCTGTCAATACTTTAATGAAAGTACCCTAAACACCGTTTGTATACCTGGCACTTGTGGAGGTTACTCTGGACCATTGTGCACTACGTGTACGCTGTTATAGGGTGTGACAATTCACTTCTGATTATTCACTAATTTACATTGAGCAAGAATACTTTGTTATACATTTTAAATGGTCAATTGGGACGTCTGTTTAACTGTTGTAATGAAGACAACGTATCTTCCTGTTTCTTCTTAAAGAAATCACTGTTGTGAAAGCCATCTCTGCGCGCCACATGTACTTACTGCTCCATGACACTTCATTGGTTTTGATAAAATGTATTGAATTCTAATAAATGTATATGTATATTTTTTCAGACTCTGCGCAGATGTTACAGCCGAGTGAAGGAGCGAGGAGTCGGAAAGAGGAAAAGCAGCTACACGTTTGAGCAGCTGGAGAGAGTGTTTGGGTCCGGAGGCTGGGAGACCCAACCCTTCCAACCTGTGCTAATCAATAGCAGTGGCCTCTACCAAGAAATGGAGTCTGACGGCAGCACGATGGAGGATTATTCGCAGGATGACTGGGGAAACCACAGCCAGGAAATGCAAGGCTTCCCGGGGGAAGATTTGGGTAAGCCATAAAATCACTCTGTACATGAATCACTTTCACCTTGATTCTAATCTCTTTAACCCCCTTCAGGACAAGGCAATCTAACTGTGAAAGGGTAAATGGGGCATTCCAGCTTGGAGTTAATGCATTAAAACATAATAGCTAAAGAGAATATGTGAATTTCTCTTTGCCTCTGTTGAAAGAAAGTGGGAAAATAAAAGGGAAACAAAACAAGTACGGTATCATTAATTTTAAGTATATTGTGCTATACTCCAACATAAAAGTACAATTCAAATAAAAAAATAAAATGTATAGTATACTGGGCCTGGAGTGAACCTAACATGCATGTCCCCAATGTATGCGTACACCCATATATCTACATGCGTGTATGGATATACACACCCTCTTTATCATTATAATGTGATATGTCGCCTTTTATGCTTCTTCAAAGACCATCCATTTGCTCCAATTGGACTTTTTATCTTTATTTGATGAAGGGTCTGCAAAATTCACTTCATATTTTTTATTATGAGACGTTCTAGAAATTACTTTTTCTATTTGACTGAGTGACTCATGGGGGGATGCCGAGAGGTGATGGACAGGACTTCGATGGTACCCCACACAGAAACACAATTATGCAACATGGACCTTTTTCATAACTGGAAATACAACCTTTCCCCCAGCCCCCCTTTTGTTTTTTTTTCTTCTCCTTCACTTACCATACTCTTCCCTTTTTCGGACCTCAATGCAGGGAGATGTTGTTTTTGGTTTCTTTGTCGCAATTAGTTTTTTTGCCTTTAATTTTTATTATTTTTTTTAGCACCTTGGGTGGTCCAGAAGTCCGCTCTGCCTTGCCCTCCTGCTGAAGGTACAGTATTACTGCTTCTACTTACAAAATGTGTTCATTACTATGACCTCAGGGTTTGTGAAGTCAAGTGTTCATTGCTGTGCGAGGTGGAGGGATCCAGGTGTTCATTGCTATGGGAGGTAGAGGGGTCCAGGTATTCATTGTTGTGCGAGGTGGAGGGGTCCAGGTGTTCATTGCTGTGGAAGGTGGAGGGGTCCAGGTATTCATTGCTGTGGAAGGTGGAGGGGTTTAGGTGTTCATTGCTGGGGGAGAGGGAGGGGTTCAGGTGTTCATTGCTATGGGAGTTGGAGGGGTTTAGGTGTTCATTGCTGTGGGGGGTGGGAGGGGTTTAGGTGTTGCAGGAGGGTTTAGGTGTTCATTACTGTAGAAGGGGTTTTAGGTGTTCATTGCTGTGGGGGTGGAGGGTCCAGGTGTTCATTGCTGTGGGGGTGGAGGGTCCAGGTGTTCATTGCTGTGTGAGGTGGAGGGTTTGGGTGTTCATTGCTGTGGGGGGTGGAGGGTTTAGGTGTTCATTGCTGTGGGGGTGGAGGGTCCAGGTGTTCATTGCTGTGGGAGGTGGAATTGCTGTGTGGGGGTGGAGGGTCCAGGTGTTCATTGCTGTGGGAGGGTGGTTTTAGGGTGTCTGGGGGTGGAGGTTAGGTGTTCATTGCTGCTGTGGGAGGGAGGGTTTAGGTGTTCATTGCTGTGGGGGGTGGAGGGTTTAGGTGTTCATTGCTGTGGGGGGTGGAGGGGTTTGGGGGTGTTCATTGCTGTGGGGGTGGAGGGTTTAGGTGTTCATTGCTGTGGGGGGTGGAGGGTTTAGGTGTTCCATTGCTGTGGGGGTGGAGGGGTTTAGGTGTTAGTGCTGTGGGGGTTTAGGTGTTGTGCTGTGGGGGGTTTGGGTGTTCATTGCTGTGGGGGTTTAGGTGTTCATTGCTGTGGGGGTTTAGGTGTTCATTGCTGTGGGGGTTTAGGTGTTCATTGCTGTGGGGGTTTAGGTGTTCATTGCTGTGGGGGTTTAGGTGTTCATTGCTGTGGGGGTGGAGGGTTTAGGGTGTTCATTGCTGTGGGAGGGTTTAGGTGTTCATTGCTGTGGGAGGGTTTAGGTGTTCATTGCTGTGGGGTTTAGGTGTTCATTGCTGTGGGAGGGGTTTAGGTGTTCATTGCTGTGGGAGGGGTTTAGGTGTTCATTGCTGTGGGAGGGGTTTAGGTGTTCATTGCTGTGGGAGGGGTGGAGGGGTTTAGGTGTTCATTGCTGTGGAAGGGGTGGAGGGGTTTAGGTGTTCATTGCTGTGGAAGGGGTGGAGGGGTTTAGGTGTTCATTGCTGGGGGAGGGGGAGGGGTTTAGGTGTTCATTGCTGTGGAGGGGTTTAGGTGTTCATTGCTGTGATATAGTAGTTTGTTTGAGATAAGGCTATGCTAATTCTGGTGGCAAGTTGATCTTCCATGATACATCTTGTTTGGCTTCACTGTCTCCAGGTGAAACACAGGGTAGTTTTGTAAGGAATTGGGCTGTCAGGGTCCTCTGGCCCCATTATTTTTAGATTCCTAACTCTGTATTAATAATATCACAAATGTCATGTTTATTGGCTGCTCTGTCTGATCCCCATTTACTTTATTCTGTTTAGAGGAGGTCAGTATTCCCAAGAGGCCAGTAAAGAATCGAGAGCCGTCCGAGGAAACGCAGTAAGTGATTTCCTAATTACCTGGAGGCAAAATGCTTTTTCTATTTTATTTCTTGAAATTCTGTGTTCAAGTATATTTACCAGACGCCAGGTAAGCAATCTTCCGAGTGAGATTAATTTGTATTCACTTTGTCCGAGGAAATCCCGAGCTTACTGTATGTTTTCTTTCTTTTGCTTTTTTCTTCAAATGTATTGAATTTTAAATTAAAGTGCAAGCTTTTGTTATTTTAACAAAAAATCAAGTCTATGTAGAACGTATGGAAGAAAGCTGTATGGGATTAGCTTGCAGGATAGAGTATCTTTATGTCTGAAAATGAATATATAATGTATTTTTATGCACGGGTAATGTTATAATAATGTACAGCAATGTGAATATAAATCACAATATGATATGTTTTAACTTAACTTGCAATGCTTCAAGCACCTTGGGGCTCCGTCATTGTTGTAGGATATCACATGAAGGGCACAGCAAAGTTTCGACCTGCATTAGCCTGACAAAGATCTGGGTGCAGGTCGAAACGTTGCTGTGCCCTTGATGTTCCATTAAACGTGGCTTGAACTTTAAACACAGTGAGAGCCTGAGCAGTTTTTTCTTTGTGATATGTATGTGGGGTGTGCTGACCCTAGCTCAGTTGCACCCTGTTTTTTTGGTTGAGTGCAGCCCTTATCCTTTTTTCATAATTGTTGTAGAATATTACATTGCAGTAGGGACAGATGGACAGCTGCATGGTCCGAGCTAAATTAGACGAACAGAAAATGTTGTGGCACCATAGGCCCCAGCATTAACAGTACAAGGACACGTTGTGGTTTTAGTGCTGAAAAGATGTGTTGACTTCTATAATATTTAAATATGAAATGCTTAAATTTTATATATTTTTCAATTTACCTTCTTAGGAAGCTGGAGATTCTGCAGACCATAATGCATATTTTGGACTCAGTCCAGCTAAAATGGGAGCTGTTTCAGAGCTGGACAGACTTTTCAAGACTTCACCTCTCTAACAAACTGGCTATATTTGCTATTGGTTACAACACGCGATGGAAAGATGACATTCGCTACCATTACGCTGAAATAAGCTCACAAGTACCGCTTGGGAAACGTCTTCGAGAATACTTCAACCCTGAGAAACCTGAAGGCCGGGTGGTTATGACCAGGGTGCAGAAAATGAACTGGAAAAATGTCTATTATAAGTTTTTGGAAATTACAATTAGTGAAGCTAGATGTCTGGAACTTCACATGGAGACAGACTGGATCCCCATAGCCCATTCCAAACCAATTGGGGGCGATATAGTTCAGTACCTTTTACCTGGCGGTATTCCAAAAAGTCCGGGTCTTTATGCCATCGGCTACGAAGATCTGCGTGGCAAAGAAGTGGATAATGCAGTTGTTGATTTAGTGAATGATGGGAATTGCGATAGTCCTACAGAGCTTGCCTCGAAATCTGATACAATAACTAGCAAAATTAATTATTGTTACCTAGGTATTGCTGAGAGTATCACGCTCCAGCAATGCCTTTTCTTTCATTTCCAGTCCACAATCAAAAACCAAAGCAAGGAGTGGGCTAGTATTAATGGATTCTTAGCGCAAAACTGCAAAGTGGAACCAGGCGTGTCTCCGAAAACCATCTACATTAAATTTGTCGAAGTCGAAAGAGATTTTCTTTCTGCCGGATCTTTAGTTGAGTGCCTGGAAAAAGCAATTGGTTACCCACTGAAGTTTAATAAATGAATTTTTATCCTTTATAAGGATTAGGGCTCTATAGATACCACGTTCCATTTTGCCAGGGTCGACTCTTGAATTTCAAACAGATTTCTCTTTGTTTTTCAAATTGGAAGAATTGTCTTAAAAGCCAGCTTCCACAGTTTGAGGCTATTGTCCTAGGCAAACGGGACCTTGTGTTTGGATATTAAATAGTGTTTTTATAAAAATAATTTTATTGTAGAGCCCTGCTATAAACTTGCTGTAAGTACATTCCACGTTGGACTAAGCTTATTCTCATTTTCAAAGGAAATACTGGGGGGGAGGGAGGGTTCTTCACGTTTCATTTTTACATATCTGTGTCTGTATAAAACTAGAAAGAATAATGAATGATGGCGCTCAACCTTGAGAAATGTACAAGAGGTTGTCACGCCATAACCCGATTAGCTAATATTGTATATAATTTATATAATCACTTTTTTTACCCATTAAGTGTTTTTACGATTTCCAACCAGTGTTGCCTGCAAAGACTTTTGTTTCTGTGACGTACTGTATTCACTCTTAGCTGTGTCTCCATATCCTTTTTTTTTTTTTTTTTTTTAAACCATTAAAGTAATGGCTTCTTTGTGTTTCGTTGACATTTTAATGGCATTACAAAGGATATTTATATATATATATATTAAAAGCATTCAGAAAACCTTGAGTCTGAATGAATTGTGCAAGTTGATCTTTCAGAGATTTAAAAAAGCCAAACAAATGCTTATCAGCTGCTAGAACATGTTTTAGAAACTTGAATATGCCATGAACTTTGTATAAACTGTTCTGCTGTCCAGTTTGGCCACCAAAACCGTTCCATCATATTCTCGCTGCGTGACAAATTGTCCACAGCCAGTGAAGGTTACCAGTGCCTTTTCTAGATGTATATTTTACTGTTTTCAGCCAATAGCAGTAATTTAGGGCAAAGTTTGGTGGGTTAAGGTTATTCCCTTATTGTAGAACTCCTCTGAAAGAAACCTTATACTTATGAGTAAAAGCCGGCATTGCAGAATATATCCATATAAAAAAATTGTAAATTCTGTACACAATCCAAAAGCTGATATATCTGTGTTATGTTTATTATTCTTCGTGTATTCTATATATTTTAATTTTGTTGCATAGCCCTGTAGCAGTTTTGTTTGAAGCAAATGTTGAGAATAATTTTTATTTTATTTTTTACTCTTATTATAGTACAGTTAATGTAATTTGACTTTTTATTTTTTTGTTTTTGGTAAATTAAAAAAAAAATCAATTGCCATTGCAGCACCTTAAGTATTTTGGTAACTGCTTAATAGTCGTCAGATTTAAATAAATTCCCTTCCTTGCCCAAGATACCCGGATTCGTTTTATATTCCCCTTGTTGTGTCTGGGATTGATTGCTGTGGACTGAAATTCTACATGTTTTTTTGGAATATTAAAGTCACACGGGACAACAGATGAATTATTGCATTGGGCATATTTTTATTATTTCAAGTTTGTCAGAGGATGGCGCTGCAAGTCTCCGCACTGCCAACGTCATAGGTTGCTATGTAACCTTATTCTCATTGTAAGAGCTAATGTATAAAATGATGTTCAAAATAAAAAGTGAACAATTTGTTAAATGAATGGGCCATCTTCTGTGTGATTAAAATATGGTAACTATTTAGATCGTTGCTCTTTGAGACCGTTTAAATGTGCTGTTTTTCCTGTAATAGCAGTCTCTGTCCTGCAATCATTATTGGAAATATTCCGCTACTTGATAACTTGTGATAGCGCATCAGTATGGTGCATTGTGGGAATCGTAAAGTGTTGACTATCACTAAAATGAAAAGACCCGCTGTGTCGGTCTGCATTGTGACCTCCGTTTCTGTCTTACAACAAACTGTCCCACTACAAATCTTTAACATTTCTTTATGGAAACTCTTTTTTTAAAACGTTTTATCTGCGGTACATAAAGGGGGTTTGGCACCCTTTCTATTCTGTGACTGTCTCTGGATTGTACAATCAGGCTAAACATTTTAAACTAAAACTTGCACTTTAAAACACATCTGAAATAAATGCGGAGATTTTCATGTCTCCTAATACCCAGGAGGATATGTTTTGCTCCATTTTATGTCTTCTGACGACTTTGAGTAATGTTTTAGCTGAGCTCACATTCACCCCACCCACACACATCTAGTGTCTGTGGCCAATAAAATGAATTGCATGCCCCCTCTAAAGGAGTGGAAGTGGGGAGAGTGTCTGTCTGACATGACAGTTTCCTGGTTAAAGTGTAATACTTGGCATATCTAATATTGTAAGTTAATACACACTTTTCTGTCTTTTGCACAATAAAATAACAAAACTTTAAACATTAAACATTAAACATCTTTAAACATCTTTAATGTTTTTTTATAATGTAATGTTTAACCTTCACATTGACATCCATGGTGTAAGGGAACATTCCCCCCCCCCCTTCACCCTCACATTGGTCTCCATGGTGTAAAGGGACGAGAGACCATCTCCCCCATTACCGTCACAATGACCTCCATGGTGTAAGGGAACAAGGGACCCTCACATTGACCTCCATGGTGTAAGGCTCAATTAATTTTTCACGTGGAACCCTTTGACATAGTGTACCAACATCGTGGAACCCCCCCAAAAAATTTTGCACCATAGCGCAAACCTTTTAATTAGCAGAGTGTCTTTTATAACAAATTGTTTTTTCTCTACATACACTCATTTTTACAGATAGCAAACAGATTGTAGTACATAGGAGCAGGTGTGCCTTTTTGGGTAAAGTTGGTGTTTGTATGTAATTTTAGCTACTTAATACAGGGGTGTATTTGTATGTAATGTTTGCATTGTGTGCAGGGGTGTGTTTGGATGTAGTGTTGACCTTTAAACAGAAATGTACATTTGTGAGTAGTATTGCTGTTTGAATTCAGGGTTGTTTTTTTGGGTGTGTTTGCTTGGATGTATGTACATAAATGTTTACACATACACACACACACACACACACACACACATTCATATACAAACTGACACATACACACCTTGACACATGCACACACTTTGACACACAGATACACACGCTGGCACACACACACCTTGACACACATTCGAACACTGACACACAGATACACATACTGAAACCGATACAAACCCTGGCACATACACACACCTTGACACACATTCAAACACTGACACACAGATACACATACTGAAACAGATACAAACACTGGCACATGCACACACTGATAGACACACTGGCACATGCACACACTGATAGACACACTGGCACATGCACACACTGATACACACTGACACACATACACACTGGCATAAACACATACATATTAAATTGTACTTGTATGTGCTTACCTTGGTGTCCAGGAGGGTGGCTTGCTTGGAGGTCTAGTCCTGTCTGTGGCTGATGGGAGTGAGCATGCAGCAGCTCACTCCCAGCCTCTCTTCTGTCCCCATGCGGTGTGCTGCTGCCTCAAGCCTGGTGATCACTCACTGCATTCCTCCCGCATGTCTGTTTCTCTGAGCCTGGAAGGAAGTTGTCACTTCCTCCTAGTCCGCTGACTGGGCCCCTGTTTAGCGATAATAGCCATCGGGTGGCCCTAAGTTCATAGGCCATCCGATGGTCAGATCACGGCAGAACCCCGATTTTGTTCTCGTGGAACACAAATTGGGAAACGCTGGTGTAAGGGAATGACGAAGGACCCTCACATTGACCTCCATGGTGTAATGGAACGAGAGACCCTCGCATTGACTTCCATGATGTAAGGGAAAAATGGACCGTCACATTGACTTCCATGGTGTAAGGGAAAAATGGACCGTCACATTGACTTCTATGGTGTAAGGGAAAAATGGACCGTCACATTGACTTCCATGGTGTAAGGGAAAAATGGACCGTCACATTGACTTCCGTGGTGTAAGGGAAAAATGGACCGTCACATTGACTTCCGTGGTGTAAGGGAAAAATGGACCGTCACATTGACTTCCGTGGTGTGGCGGTGCTCCACTGATCCTGCCCACCACATTTCCACACTCCTGGTGGCAAAATGTAACTGCCTACATTGACTTCCATGGTGTAAGGGAAAAATGGACCCTCATATTGACCTCCATGGTGTAATGGAACATGAGACCCTCACATTGACCTCCATGGAGTAAGGGAACGAAGGACCCTCATCTTGGCCTCCATGGTGTATGGGAACAAGTGACCATTCCCCATCTCCCCCCCAATGACCCTCACATTGACCTCCATGATGTAAAGTAAGGAGACCATTCCCACCTTCAAGGCTGTCACATTGGTTTCCATGGTGTAAGGGAACAAGGGTAGCAAGAACTCCCACAGCACACCAATTTATGCCAAAGAAAAACATGTTCATTCAATATCGTACACAATACGAAGTGCAGAGCTAGCAAGTAATATACACCTACATAATAAAGTGCATTAAGGTTAGGGTAAGGGAACGAGGGACCTTCTCCCTCCCCATGGCATACACATTGTCCTCCATGGTGTTTATCGTTGTTACGACCGAGTTTAGCATTTTCTAATTGCTGTTTTTGTTTTATGCCAAGCCTTTTTTATCCATGTACATTGAATAGGATGGGGGGGGGGGGGGGGGGTTAAACAACATAGGAGATTGAGAATTGTGTGAATTTACTGGTTTCCCACTAGAGGTCAGTCATGTTCCACATACTTGTATTCGGAGTTGTCTGTGTTCGCTTTAAGTTATTGGAGGTCACTAGGACTTGATTGCGGGCGATTTTGCTTAAGTATGTTAAATCGTTCAATTTTTATAATTTCATAACCTCCCACACAGGGGATCTAATGCTTATTTCCTTTCTTTATTTTTCTTTTGGTTCCGATAATGTGTGATTGTGTCAAAAGATAGGATTTTTGTTCCAGTTTGGTTGATTTTTCAACAATTCTCAGATTACTGTATAAGTATTGACCACTTCCACTGGGAGGCTATTCCATGTATCTACTACCCTTTCTATATTATTGTAAACCTGTAATGCTTCCACTGGAAGGCTATTACAGGTATCTACTACCCTTTCTCTCAAGCTTGGTGCCAAATAGATATTTATTTATTAAAATCTCTGTACACAAAGTATTTTGCATGTGATGGTTTATGTTGAATTGCAGACAGCTCCATGTGCTCCTTGATACAGGCATACCCCGCTTTAAATACACTCACTTTAAGTACACTCGCGAGTACAGACATACCCGTGAGTGTATGTAAAGGTGCCTTGCGAGTACAGACATTCCCGCGCTTCTTCTGTCGGCAAGTGAACAGGAAATGGAAGGTTCTATTCTCGCCCGGAGCAGTTCTGTGTCTTTTGGGCAAGAACTTTTCACACCTTCTGACATGGCACAGGTTAATCATCTCAAAGTTATAAGGCCTACGCCTAGCTGAACGTGTGTGTGTGTATATATAAATAAATATATATATATATTTGTGTTAGGTGCTTAAGATAGTACAGTGTGGAATACCATGAATAAGCGTAGGATGATAAAAGGAGCAAGTCGGTTGTGGTGTGCCGAAACCGACGATGAGGTAGGCCTGAGAAAGAAGAGGGCCCACCCAGGAAATGAAATTGAAAGGAAAATAAATGTTAAAAGTGGTGTGGTGGGAGGGTCATTCAATGCTGACCTCGAACGGTAAGGAGCCAGGCAAGGGGAGTGCCTTAAGTAGGCTAGGGGTAGAAAACCAGCACCTCCCACAAATGCAGGCAAATTGCCTTAATACTTGTGTTAGGTGCTTAAGATAGTACAGTGTAAAATACCATGAATAAGCGTAGGATGATAAAAGGAGCAAGTCGGTTGTGGTGTGCCGAAACCGACGATGAGGTAGGCCTGAGAAAGAAGAGGGCAAAAATTAAGTAATCAAATTTATTAACAGACAACCAATACATATACATTTTATCAACCAGACATGTTTTTGAAAGCATCCCTTAATTCTTGTACTGGGTTCGGTATGTATCGTGAGTAAGCGGATGACTTCCAGCGCCCCAGTGTTTTTATAACATGAACTGGAATGTTGACACTGGAGGCTGTGGACGCTGCTAATATGCGGCAGGAGTGCCCTGAGTAGTTAGCTGCTTTGAGGCCCAGTTGAGTGAGCAAAGACCTGACGTAGGTCATGAAGGTTGTAGTGGTGAGTACCGAACTTTGTAATAGTAATAATGATTGTGATGGTATTGAAATATGATGCTGTAGGTATGGATCCAGAACCTTGACGGGGCACCACTTGTTGTGCGTGGGGTAGTATGGAATGTTTACTGGTATGTGCTGGCTGGTTTTGGAGTGAGGTAGCGTTAGGATGTAATGATCCATGTGTTTTGTTAAGTGGGAATAGAGGAGAATAGGAGCAGATTGTGTTATGTTGGTTGTAGTAAACTCTCTAGGTCTTAGGAATCCATAGAAAGCTATGTATATTGCTGCTTTGATGACAGAATTTGTATTGGTGTCAAAAGGTTTTAAATCAAGCAGGTTGGATAATGCCTTGAAGATATGGTTAT